TTTAGAAATATTCCAAGAGATTTATTATCTAAACTTGTTGATCTGAATCAGTTAACTCACTTCCACCATGCCTTTTCAATTCTAGAACTATTTTAAATTAAAAAGTAGACATTTATTTAATCTGATACAACTGTTGATGATGTTATGATGTTGTTGTTACATGATATGATGTTGATACAAATAAATACACAACCCTAATACTTCTAAAGATGTTGCAGAGCAAAAATCGATGTAGGAATGGGGAAAAAATGGGAAAAAAACTTGGAGCCGGGATTGAACCCGTGACCTACCGACTTGGATACAAGATCCCTACCCACTCAGCCATCGTAGCAACAAATCAGGAGAAAAATTCAGGAGTTTTATATTGAACTTTGGGTGTAAAGATGATCAATTTGGGTAGAGCACTGGTCACAAAAATAGCGTGTAGCTAAATTGATGATAGAAACTGGGCAGGATCTAATAGTAAGATCTGGAGCTGGCTTCTGTTCTGAGCTGGCTTGTGTTCTGAGCTGACTTCTGTTCTGAGCTGGCTTGTGTTCTGAGCTGACTTCTGTTCTGAGCTGGCTTCTGTTCTGAGCTGGCTTCTGTTCTGAGCTGGCTTCGTTCTGAGCTAGCTTCTGTTCTGATTTGGTTGAATCTCGGGAAAAAACAAAAAGTTACAAAATGAAGATGATTCTGATTACTTTAGACTATAAAATGACGGCAAAGTCAAAAAGGAAATTCTTTCTGAAATCAAACTCAAAACAAATTACCTCAAAAAGTTTTGAGAAACAATTTTTGCTGAACAATTTCAATTGAAGAAAAATGATGAGAGTTCCACTTAACGATCAAAAGATTTCTCTCTTTTTCTAGAAAAAAAAGACGACAAAAACCATTCCCCAATTGATCATTTTTATCGACGATGAGAGAGCGATAATAAACAAGATTTGAGAAAAGTTTTTAAAAAGAAAAAAATTGAAATTTTTAAATAACATTGCTATATTGATGACCTGGTTTTCAGCTTTGTTTACAGAAAATATCCGAGTTTAGTATGCCAAGTGGTGCTCGTTTTCAAGAGCGCAAAGTACAGTGCAATGCAGTGTATCAGTGCGATTGCTCAAAAAGAAAAAGACTAAAATTTTAGATCATTAATGAAAAATAGATTTTTTTTGATTGCTATTTCGATCGGATGAGCCAATCATTACCATAAACAATGAAGGATGAAAGAAGAAGACGCAAAAGATGTTCAATGTTCAACGTTCAATGATCAATCAATCCATTCTACTTTATCTATTCAAAATTGCCACCAACCTAGCCACTTCTTCTTCAACGACATTTGGATCAAGGGGCTCCTTTTTCGGTTGATTTCGACCACTCGATCTTTTGTGTGATGTGGAAGTGGTTGATGGAGTGGTGGAAAGAGTGTTGAGTGAAGACGAGGAAACGGGACGACTGAAACTGAAAGGGATTTATTGATGTGGGAAATATCTAGTTATGAGGTTATTAGAAATAATCAAGGATGTCTAAAATCGATTCAGTAATGGCAGGTGTAGTCAGCTTGGCCTTGCCCTTGTCCTTGACCAGGTCAAGTCTAGGCCAGGCCTGGAACCAGGTCCAGAGCCAGACTATCCAAGCGTGCCTACCTGGGATAACCAGAACGACCTTAGACCCGAGGCTGACTCTGGACCTGGCCAGGCTCTGGACCAGACTTGACTTGGTCTAGGGCTGGCCCGACTTGACCTAATCTGGCTTTACCCTGGGTATCTGACTCCTGATCTGGCCAACTTTTAACAAATGATCTGACAGTGAGGGAATTCGAACGAGGGTTAAAAGCGAGCGCGCCGGCACACTACCCACTACAACACCGCGTCGCTCCGTTTAACGGGAAGTAAGACCTATATTAGCTCTAAGACTTAAACTTCGTTGCCAGATAACTCGCGATACAGGGCTCCGTTGGTGAAACTAAAATCAGATTTGGAATCAGCGTTCAAAACTCTATCAGATAAGCTAGGCGTGATTCAAAAAGTCAGCTTCGTCGTCGATACAAAAGACTTAAGTCGGCGCCATTTATTTAGTGAGCAGCCAAGCCAAAGAGCCAAGGCAGATCTGGGCCTGGATTCTGGTTGAATCCGGCCTTGAATTGAATTTTGCTCATCAATGAACTTAAAAACCCTTACTTTGCGCTGAAAGTTGATGCCGATTTAGCTTCTCCCGTTGTCGCTTTCACTGCATAGACCTAAAATTAGCTAATTAGTTAAAACTAAGATATAAATTTAGTAAAAGATAGTAAAATAAATAATAAAACATGGTTTTTCTATAAGAAACAACTTTGTTTACCTGTCTCAGAGCCACTGCTGTATCAACATGTCCCGTGTGATTGTTGTTCTCGTGTCTGAAAAGTTTTGATCGTTGTAAATCCATTCAATAGCTTAATCAATTATATATATCATTATATAATCAATTAATCAACAATCAATCACTCACCGTGACTGCTCAGTTGATGGCGGCTGTGAGTAGGCAGTGTGATCGATCGGTGTTTCGCTTAATTGCTGCTGAACGACGACAACACAATTTCGATCGATCAGTTGGGTGTTCTTCTGTAAAATTTTACATTTTATCATGAAATAAATGCAAATTTCGTGTCTAAATTCTAGCAATAACTTGAAACTTTCTTCCAAAACCCACATTTGGTTCCTCATCGATGAGATCGTCAACCGGTTGAAATTGATAAGACGACGGTGCTCCCAGATTATCGTAGCTCACATCTGAATAAAGAAGGCTGATAAAGAGCCAGTTAATCTATTCCAGTTAAGCAATGAATCTAATTCTTTATTTGCCGAATATTTACAATTAAAACCCACCCGAATACTCATCAGTGTACGCTGGAGCAGCCAACGAATCGAAAGAAGCCGCTCGACCGAACTCCCGAGCATCCAAATAGCCTAAATCTTTGCTAAATCTACAAAAATATAAAACTTTTCATAATTATCTCTAAAATTTGATAACTATTTAGTCTTTTGATTGAAAATGAAAGAGGAAAGCGGCTGGTTATAGCTAACTTCTAACAAGTTTCTGTTGACTCAATCGCTTTTACGTTCATAAAATTCAAGCTAATAATAAGCTATTTTACTTATTTATATCAAGGATCAAGCACTTTTTATTTAAACAAATCTATTTTCAAATATCTCACCAATATTATGGTTCATCTCCAGTTCGAGCACGTCCTGCCCTGAGGACTCCATCACCGGAATCGCCGTTTCATACGAGAATGGGGTATCTAAAGAAATTTCAATGATTTATTTTAAATTAACGTTTAAAATAAGTTTAAAATTTAATGCTTAATAACTAATATTGATAAAAACCCTCTTTTTGGCTCATTAAATGCCGACCGAATATTCATAAGTGTACGCGGAGAAACTCTGGCCGAAAATGAGGGAAAGGAGGAATGTGACCTCTCACCCCGTCAAAGAATAACCCTGATAACGGATTTTTAAGCATTAATGGGCTTTGCAGCTGTAGATAAGTAGTAAAAGAAATGAATTAAGTAGTGATAGCTGTTTACAAATCAAATTAGCATAATAGAATCAGGGCTAGACAAGAACAGGTCAAGAAGTCAGTTGCTAAACAAGAACATGTCAGGGAGTCAGGTACAAGTCGGTTCTTACCTTGGTGATCAAGTACTCTTTGTCGGGCTTAGGCGTAGGCTTAGGCTTAGGCTTAGGCTTAAGGTAGTAAAGCCAAGCCAAGGTTCAAAGCTAAGGCAGGACTTGGCTTTGTTATTGATAGGTTTGAGGCTGAGAATACGAAACATGATCGGCGCCGGAATTCGAACCCGCGAACGCTTAATCGCTTGCTTAACGCTCTACCAATGAGCTATACCGACACGTGTTCCATTGATGTCAGGATAGGGCTTTATGTTTACTGCAAAAGTGCACAAGATTCTCCGGGCAGATCAAGCCAAGTCTGATTAAAATAGGCCAGAAGTCAGGTCCTATTTTTTGGGTTAGACAAAGTTAATGCAATTTTGGCTCTGGCCGTTTGGACAAGCTCGTAAATTTACATTTACTGTCAAACAATGAACATTAAACACTCAATAGTAGCCTAATAAACCTGATTTGAATGCAAAATCTTTCTAAAAAGTCAATTATTAGCGTCTTGAAAACAACCCAAGCAAATTCATGGATATAAGCAAGCAGGAAATGGAAAATATCTCGTTTTTTGTAAAGTTCTATGCAAATTTGCAAGTTTTACGTCGATCAAAGTCACATGTACGCATAAAACCTACCGTAAATACTGTAATAGTACCCCAAACCCCTCGTACAGTCGCGTAGTCGCAGTTTTTAGTATTTCATTTTTTCCAAAGCGCCCGTACTTCCAAAAAATGCGTCTTTGGTATCAAAAAATAGCTGAAATTCAGGGCTATTTTATGACACCAAAACGAAGATTTTAGCTTCAACCAGTGTCGAGAAAAACTCGTTCAAAGCTAGACTACGCAACACTTCATTATGATGGGGTACTATTACAGTCATTATGGGCGTGGGGTACTATTAAAGTATTTACGGTATATTTACTGTAAAGCCAAAGTCAAACCTTGATCAAAATCATCATGATTGTCCAGTGAGATCGTCGTCGTTTTTGACGTGCTTTCCCTTGAAGATTTTGACGGAATCAATCGCGCCACTCCCTCCATGAATCTTTTATAGAAATTTCATTCGTCTTCTATCATTTTCTTCAGTTTCAGTTCGATAAAATCCAAAATATATCTGAAATTTAAAATATAGAGACGGTAAAAATAAAAAAATGGAAAAATTAAATGAAAAATGGAATCAATTTTATTTTCGAGGCGGAAAAGGGTGACGAGCGATGACTAAAAATGGGGGTTTTTTTTGAAGAAAGGGGGAATAAAATTGTCACTACAATAGATAGAAAAAGAAAGATTTCAATGCGCCAGTTTGTGTGCGATTGCAAAAAAAAAGAACTGATTGGAATGCACAACAGCTTCAATGACTTGATCTAGTACGCTAGATTATGTGTCTTTGGTAAAAGTGAGTTAGGAGAACGCAGAAGCGAACTGAATTCTATTTTCAAGAATATTGATTTAGCTCTAAAATCTCTCAAAACAAATATGCTATTGTTTTTCAATAAAAAAAAATCAATGGCATAGAATCGGAGTGTGGAAAAGAATGGGAAAAGGATTCGGAGCGGACGAATGTGAATGAATGAATGAATGAATGAAATGAATGAAATAAATTCAGCAATGAACATATTTTTCTTTCTTTTCTTTCTTTTCTTTCTTTTCTTTCTCTTTTTTTATTCAAATAAAAATGACTGGAAACTTTTAAAAAAAGAATTTTTAATGCTCAAATACCGCCAAAATCCGGGAAAATATTTGAAATTTTTGGAATTTTGAAGAAAGTAATAAACTACCGTAAATACTGTAATAGTACCCCACCCCCATAATGACGGTGCGGAGCGTTACGTAGTCTAGCTTTGGACGCGTTTTTCTCGACACTGGTTTATGCTACAATGGCGCTTAGGTATCAAAAAATGGCTGAAATTCAGGGCTATTTTTTGATACCAAAGACGCATTTTTCGAAAGTACGGGTGCTTTGAAAAAAATGAAATACTAAAAAACTTTTGAGACTACGCGACTGTACGAGGGGGTGGGGTACTATTACAGTATTTACGGTAAGTACGGTATTTTTTTCCTACATACAAACTTTAGTGACAAGCATTATTGCATTATTTCTTAATAAGAACGAATCAATTCTTTCTTTCCTTCTAATTCTTGATTACTTAATGATCTCTGTGATTGATTTGGACTCTCTGAATCTGCTCTTCTACCCGACTGTACGAGTACGTAAATACTATTACAGTATTTACGGTAGAAAACTTTAATTCAAATCAAATCAGCTTTTCAATTAAGTTAAAAAGAAAAAGTTTATGTCTTACTATTAGAAAGTGATCAAATGATTAAATGGATTATAAACGATTATTTAAGCTATATAAAGCATAAGAGACATCAGTCCGTCTGTGCGCAGCCATTGGCAAAAAGGGGTGGGGCTTAGATTGAGCTTAAACCTTAGACCTTTCCAGTTTTCCGCTGGCGTTATTATAAACCATCAAATGGACAAATTAGATAGCTTACAAGTCTGATAAGTAGAGAATCTAGTAATCAACAACAATACTAGTAATTTAGCAAGATTTAGCACCGTAGATCGTACGTAGATCGTACATGTTTTTACAAAAATGTGAACTTTTTCAGGCTAAAGTTTGAGCAGAGCGTTTACAGAAACTGCCAAAAAATGAGCTTTTCCTATAGCTGTGAGTTGTGTACAAGAACAAGAAATTCTATTAAGAACAAGAAAAAGAGAATGCTTAAAATATAAGTCAATAATTATGAAGAATTCGAAATCCTAGTCATTTCCATTGTTTTTTTTTGAATGAAGAGATAGCTAGAAAGAAATTTTGTTGGTGTGCGGGAGATGAGGGAAACAAAATAGATGTGGGGAGATCGAATCGAAACGAAGAGAGGAGAAAAAGGAAAGGAAAAGGGGCAATGCCAAAACCAACATCACAGAGGCCCATCTATGGAGAATGGGGGAAGGAAAAAGAAGGCCATTTCACTGAATATCTTTCATTTCTCTCCATTTCTTGCCTATCTCATTTCCCTTTTTCCTTTCCTTTTCCTTTCCTTTCCTTTTCCTTTTCCATTGGGACGCAAAGCTGAAATGCCGCTTCTCTGGAGAAAGATTCTAGTTCTGTTTTAACAAAATAACAAACTTACTATGGATTTGAGAAATATTTTATGGAAAATATAGAAACTAGAAATTAAAGAATTTTATTATTGACTATATTGAATCTATTGTAGACTTGCTTAAAAGATTGGATATTGGATATTGGTTTGAGGAGGAGAATCAGGCAAAAATTAGACCCTAGCCTTGCTTGGCCAAACCAAGACCTTGTCTGGCCAAACCAAGATCTTGCCTGGCCAAACCAGGACCTTGCCTGGCCAAACCAGGACCTTGCCTGGCCAAACCAGGCCAGGTAGCTTACATGGATGGCTTGGAACATTCCTGAAAACTAGATCTTACAGAAATCAGAGATCAAAATCAGAATCAGAATCACAGAACATTAATCAACTAGCATCTATCTGTTTTCTTCGCACTTTGCAAACTTCGCATAAGTTTTTCAACAACCATTAGCCAAGTTGTTGCCAAACATTAGCCAATAGTTGTGGAAATTTGTTAGAAAATAGCATATTAGAGAAGATTTGAGTCTTTCTGAACAACTGATGCCTGGCTAAAGCAAGCCTCGACTACGTTCAATGCATCTTTGCCTAGCCTTTATATCACTACATACTTATCTTCAAATCAGAACTTTAATAAAGATTTATCTGCAGATAGTCAGATTAAAAACTCAAGATAACTGGAGTCTGGGAAATCTCGAGTTTAGTTTGAACTTTAGAATTGAAAAGGGACTTTGCTTGCTTGCTTTCTTGCTTGCTTTAGCCTTGCTTTAGAGCCGAGCTTTAAAATGATACTAATAATTAAGTAAAAGCTAAATTAGATTATTTTAAAGCAACTACAATTGTATTATCATTTAAAGCGAGGCTAAGCTTGACGTTGACTGAGTTCTGGAAAATTTCCCCCATTGGAAATAGCTGAAGAAAGAAAGAAAAAGGCCCACAAAAGGTCCTTTTTATTCTTTCTTCTTTCTCTTCCTTCTTTCTCTTTCTCCTTTCCATTTCCCCTTTCAACTCTTCGGGACGAATGGATTCGAATGCCAAACGGGGAGAAAAAGAAAGGAAATTCTGCCTCTAGTCAACCAACTAACAACACAAAATGAACAAAACTAAAGAAAAGAAATAAGTTAATAATATTGTTGACTAACAATTTTATTGGTTATCATTAAAAAGTTTGAGTGTTCAATGAACATTGTAGGTTCTTTCCATGGTTCTTTCCATGGTTCTTTCCATGGTTCTTTCCATGGTTCTTTCCATGTTCTTTCCATTGTAGGTTCTTTCTACCCTCACCCGGTTTAATTAGCCAAGTTTTTCGGGAACTGCTAAATCTATTTTGGATGGGATTTAGCTAGTGCACTGGAGCCAGGCTTGGTGCGTTCTCTCTCTGTCTCTCGTAAGAAAAAGCAGCGTCTGGCACACTGCCCAGATAGAAGTGCCCGGAAATTCCGATCTCCCGGTTTAATTGCCCAAGTTTGTTGCGGAAGGCAAGCGATTATGAAAAACCACAAAGAACACAATGTTTTTACTCTTTTTGCATAAATATCTCGAAAAATAAGCTTAAAAAAGTGATTTGACAATAAAAATGAAAATTTAAAGACTATTAAAGCGTTTAGACAACTCAAATTTATTAGTTTTCCTTAAATTTTCAGTTCAGAGTTTCAAAACGGAGATGAATTTGTATGATAAGGAAAAAGAGTAAAAAATTTCGAGGGAGAAAAATCCAAAATGACAGTTGATGTTAGAAAAACGATAAAAAAAGTGAAAAATTTGAAAAAAGCCGAAATTTTGAAAGCACGAATGGCAAATTAGGGAAAATTAGAGGAAATTGGTGGGTTTTTCTTGGGTAAATTTAGCGAATAATAAATTATGACCGTAATACCTCTAATAGTAGCGCCCCCCGTCCCGTACAGTCACGTAGTCGCAACAAAAATCGTCGCAGTCGTCGCGTAGGCGCAACAAAATTTTTACTAAATCATTTTTCTAAGCGCCTATAATTTCTATAAATACATTTTTGGTATCAAAAAATAGCCCTGAATTTAAGCTTTTATTTGATATTTAAGCGGATACTGTAGCATAAACGAGTGACGAGAAAAATGCGTTGAAAGTTAGACTACGCGACGCTCCGACCATTATAAGGGGGCGCTACTATTAGAGGTTATACGGTAGGGTAATAAGTATGCAAAAATAAGAATAATTTCGATACAATTGTTTAGATAAATTCTTGAACGCATTTCTTTCGATAGATTTTGAATTTAAACAAGTCTAAACAACGATTACACTTAGAAAACAGGTATTTAAGAGTTTTTGTATTCTTTTCGACTAATCGACTTTCCTTCTTCCTTTCTTCTTCTTTTCTTCTTCCTTTCTTCTTCCCCCTTATCTTTCCCTCTCTCTTTCTTGGCAATTTAAGGTACCGAATGGCTCAGTGGTTAGAGTAATTGCCTCAAAAGCGAAAGAGAGTTCAATCTTTTAGGAAATCCTTGCCAATTTCTTCACTTCTTTATTACTGATTTTGATTTTGTGCCTGGTTTATTACTGATTCTTCTTCTAACTTCGGCTTGTAGTTTATTACTGATTCTTCCTGGTTTATTACTGATTCTTCTTCTTCGGCTTGTATCATTGATCTTGGTCCTGAGCTTATTGATTTAAGCTTAATAACCTATACAAAAAAGATTAACGATACCAATTCTAAGCTTTTTGATAATCAAATGTTAAGCTAGCTTTGAGAAAAACCATTAAGAACTTATAGAATCAGCTTGAAAGTCTTGCAATTTTTCTGGAATTCAATTCAAGATTTAATCTTTAGATTTAAATTCAAACAATTAAATATCTTCAAAAATTAACACCAAAACTTATTAGTTATTGATCTTTCTTGTAACTAAAAAGTTTCGGTTAGATTTCTTTCTATTCTAGATACATCTTTTTCCCCCTTAGCAGTAATTTAG